TAAACCGTAGACGAATCGATCATAGAATTGAATAGTTGACCAATAGACAAACAAGAAAATCTGAAGGGTGTGGGTGTGGGAAGAGCTATTCCCTTTTAACCCACCCACACCCTTCTCATTTTAAATTCAACTTTTATTCGCTTTTCATGTTTTATATACATTATCTGTTCATGAAAAATGAAATATAATAACAATTTATCTTTTTTTTCCCGATACGTCACTCTATGACAACATCATATCAATGAATTACAAATTTTTTGAATAGTCTTATGTTGTTTCATGAAGATTTTTCAGTGTTTATTCACTGTAAGCGCAATTTTCAGCCACATGCAATCCTATATTTTAAGCCGATAAATACCAAACTTGATTCTCAACAGAAATCGACAACATTAAGTTAATCTCTATGCCTTTCAAACTAGAGTATATCTATTCGTTGTAGAACACATTAAACAATGTCTTTTAATGAAGATGATATTGTTTTCGCACACCATTTGGAACCAAATGATAGACTCTAGCTAAAATTTTATCGATTAACCAAGCCAGTGGTAAATATAATATAATAAAAAAGAGTTTCGCTTGCCAGCCTGGTCGATAATGAATACAAGGATTTATATTCATAACAGCATGCTAAACAGCTCTTACCACCGTTTTTGGATCATCAGGATGTTTCATAATAGGACTACTGATTCCTCGTGTGATTAAACTATTTAAAAAACCGTTTCCCCATCGTTCTTGTATATCATTGGAAAGTTCATTCCATAGATTTTGTAAAATATCTGCATAACCTTCATTCATTGGTGTTCGTAAATTCCAGGCTCAATAATACTGACCTTTAAACCCCATGGAGCCATTTCTTGACGAAGACAATCAGAAAATGATTCTAAAGCATATTTCGATGCTGAATAAGCACATGTATTTGGAAAAGCAAAGAAACCAGTAGCTGAACAAATATTTACTACACGAGACTGATGTTTTCTTATCAGCAACGGTAAGAACTTTTTTTGTCGTTGCAACATGTCCAAAAAAATTTACATTCATTATTTTACGCATTAATTCTATAGGAGTCCAATCGATATAACCATGTGTTATAATACGAGCATTATTTATAAGTCCATGAAGTGTATTAGTTTTTTTCTGTACTAATTCAAATACTGTATCAATATCTTCTTCTTTTGTTATATCCAGATGAAATATTTTTGCTCTTGTTGAGAGTTTAGCTTTCAATATTGTTTTATTGTCAGGTATATGTACACTAGCAAACACATTAAAACCTTGTTTATCGAGTTCAATGGCTAATATGTGACCAACAACTGTATCACAGCCACTTATAAGCACATCTTTATTGTCTGGAATAATATTTACTATAGTAAAAATATGTTCATATAAACAGTAGATGATGTATACTTATATACCAAAACCAATAAGTACGAAGATCATTGTTTATTTGTAGAACTATTACAATGAACACATGAGTTTCAATGCCAGAAGATAATAACATGCTCTTTTTTTCTCTTCTTATCGACTTGCTGTTTCGCACGTAGCGCTGTATATAATTGTTACTCAAGTAATCATGTAGAAAAATAAAATGCGATGTAGAAAAGCAAAAAAATCTTTTCATTCAGATGAAGAAGAATAAATAGTGACATTTGACTCAATCTTAGAAAAAAAACGTATTTTTGACAACTAACATATGATGAATGAAGACCCAATAAAAATTATTTGCTATAAAAATCAGTGGCATCATCAAAAGAGTCTGTCCACAATCGTTGGATCAATTCATCCTTGGTTAGATTAACAGTTTTGAGCTGAATATTTATCAACTAACCGATTCAAAAATAAATCTTCTTGAACTCATAAAATAATTATGATTTCTTGCAAACAACGAAATATCAAAACAAAGTGATTTTAAAACCATCCATTATATCATAGAAAATAAATCCCATAACATTAAACTTCTCACGCAACATTCCAACTGCAAGTAATTTTATATGATATTCCATCTGAATAGTTTATAAATATTTGACTCATATTATCATAGTATATTTGAATGATTCAACAGAGCTTTATGCTACTTTAGAAAAACCTACTCCAATATCAATTTAATTTCGTCATGAATATTGTGATTCAAAATTGATCTATACTTTTGAAATTTGACTATTTTGTTATTTTACGGAATTACAAACAATACGATGAGAAAATACAGAACACTATACGAAAACATGGCTATACAGCAGTAAAACAAATAAGAACGAAGAAGAAAAATATCAAGACAAGGACCTAGACGACGGATAAAAGAAAATATGTTCTTTTCTGTTGTCTATTCGACTCGTCTGTTACCCCTAATATATGTATTAGGTTGTAAAAAGAAATGCGTTAGTTATGCTTGTCTCTTCATTTGCTTGACAGCTTTATGATGTATCTTCTAATTGGTTTTATAATTCTTCTTTGTATCTCCTATATTTTATATCGACATTTTTTTCCAACACCAAACATCGATCCAAATGATAAATATGTACGTATTAGTGGTTGTGATACAGGATTTGGTAATGGATTAGCTATTGAACTTGATAAACAAGGTTTTAATGTTTTTGCTGGTGTTTATACTCCTGAAAGTGTAATATCTCTTAAAGAAAAACTTTCATCAAAAGCGACGGTTTTTCGTCTTGACATTACCAAAAAAGAAGATATCGATGCTGCTTTTGAACTCGTCAACAATAAGACAAAAGTTCTTCATGCACTTGTTAATAATGCTGGTATAGGTACTTTTGGGTATATTGACTAGATATCAATGGAAGTTATACAAAAAATCATGGATGTTAATTACATTGGACATGTTGCAATGACAAAGAAATTTTTACCATTACTTATTACTAAACGTGACTCACGTGTTGTTAATACTAGTTCAGCAGTTGATTATATTGGATTTCCAAGTTCGTCTGCTTATTGCGCATCGAAATGTGCGCTTGAATCATTTTCGGATTGTTTACGTCGTGAAATGGTTCCATGGGGCTTAAGTGTTAGTGTGATTGAACCAGGTGCAATGAAAACACCCATTATCGAAGCGAGTTGTGGATCATTCGAAGATTTTTGGAGTAAACTTCCAAGTGATATCAAGGAACGATGGGGAGAAGAGTATATTAGAACTGAATTTCATATAATAAAAGAAAGTCCACTCTTCAAATTTGCCGAAGATCCAATGAAAGTCGTACGAGCTCTTCAACATGCTGTTATGAATAAATCTCCTCATATTCGTTATCGACCTGGTTGGCAATCACCTTTTATTTTATATCCACTTTCGAATTTACCTGCTTGCATTGTTGATTGGCTTTTTAATGTACTAAACAAATCACGTGATGCTCCAACGGGTGTTTCTCAACAACCTAAAGGCTAAAGAATTTTAGTGAATGAAATGAAACAATGTTTTTCTTTTATGTAAGGTACTATAAAATTCATTTTGCCATTGATTAAAAAAGAATATTTTGAAAATAAAGATTTTAGATTGATTGATTCAATTAAGTTTTCTATGAATCGCACATATGAATTGTTTACGAAAAATTTGAATTATATTTGAATTTTTCTCAGTTAGTTAATTTCATAAATTTTATATTTTCGAAAAGACGATAACAAACAGAAACTCTCATTCTATTTAAATTAGAATAACATTTAATCATTACATATGTGTGATTATATCAAACAACAGTAATGAATTGACTTAGCTAGTTGTATACGAATAAAACTCATTGTGCATACATTATATGTAGATATTAATTAATTATCTTGAGCAAATCCATAGAATTCATTATTTCAGTATGCAACATTTGCTTATAGTCAATTAAAATATACATTAAACAGAATGTATTTCCAATTAGACTTTTTTAACATGAGTTCAACATGGTTTTTGTTACTACTATGCATATGCTAGAATGAAAAATTCTCGTTGTCCCATTTATTAATTGTCATGTATTTATTCAAATCAATAACAGAATCTCTAAGTTCACAATATTCAGATGTTTAGAATTAACCAGTTGTACGTATCTGTCTATTTCAAATCAAAATGTACTCTAAGAATATCCCTTTCGACTCTCATTTTCGGAAAAAGATATTAGGAAAACAGCTGTAAAAGACAGAAAAAGAACTCTTATCGAAATCTTACCGCTATAACTTTAGTTGATTAATAATTGAATGCCAGAGAAAAAAAAGAACATGGTTTGTATTATCGTTCCATATGAATAGAGAGTTTCCTAAATGTCACTCTAAAGCATGTAACTATACTGCCACTATTCTTGTATTATTCTAAATATATTAAGCAAAAAAAAATATGTGAAGTAACGCTACAGAAATGTTACAAATATTTATAGAACACAACGCACTTTCTGCTTTGCTACATACCGCTCTCGATTCGATGTTGCTCTTAGTGCAACAACAATAATACACCAGAAAGAGTACAACAAGGACGTCAATAATGTCTTTTCTTCGCCATTTGTCTTTATCTGTTATGTTGCTTCTTATTGGTTTTATCATAATCCTATATATATACTCTATTATTTATATTAACACTTTTTCTAACATCAAACTTGATAAACAGGATTTTAATGTTCTTTCAGTTGTTTATATTCCTAATAGTGTAACTTCTCTAACAGAAAAAGAATTTCATCACACGCTTCAGTTTCTCGTCTTGATGTAACATTGATAGAAGATACGCGTAAAATAATAAATAGGAAATTTTTTGAACATGTTTCAATGGCAAAAAGATTTTTACCATGACTTATTATTAAACATAAAAATATAATCTTGAATCATTTTTAAGTGTCTCATCGTGAATATCTCTGGAGAATTTACGTGTTTCTTCCAGTGATTGTGGTACAATGCGAACAGCAATAACTAAAAATTTGGATCAAACATTGAAAAAAATTTGGCTACAGTTGCTATTGGATGTTAAGAAACGATGGGATGAAACATGTTTTGAAGATGTATTTAAATTAGTGATAAATAGTTCGTTTATCAGTTGTTACTAGCCATATTAATTGGACATCAATGAAATATACGCGTCAAGTAATGGGTGTAAATTTTTTTGGACACGTTGCAATGACAAAGAAATTTTTACCATTACTTATTGCTAAACATGATTCACGTGTTGTTAACGTTTGTTCTGTAGCTGATTATGTGTCATTACCAAGTGGATCTGCATATTGTGCGTCAAAATATGCTCTTGAATAATTTTCTGATTGTTTACATGGTGAAATGACTCAATGAGGTTTTACGCGTTTGTATTATAGAACTAGGATTTATGCGAACGCCTATGGTTCAATCCGTTCCTAAATTATTTGAAGATTTTTGAAATCAAATTCCAAGTGATATTAAAGATTGATGGGGAGAAGGCTTTCTTAAAATTGGATTTAATACCATTGAAAGAAATTCACTTTTACTATATGTGGAAGATCCGATGAAAGTTGTACGAGCTATTTAACATGCTGTTATGAATACAGCTCCGCGTATTCGATATCGATCTGACTGGCAATCAAGTCTTGTTTTCTTTCCTATTTCGCATTTACCAACATGCATTGTTGATTGGATTTTCCTAATATTAGATAAATCACCTCTTGCTCCAGCAGGCGTTTCTCAACAACTTAAAGACTAATAAATCTTTTTGTATTGAAATAATTTTGTTTTTATAAATTCAACCAAGCGAATGTAGTTTCTAGTTATTTATCAGAAAGTGATATTTGAAAAATAAACATTTATATTGATAAGTTCAATTAGATTTTTCATGAAACATAGCTTTGAATTTTGTACGAAAAATTTTAATAGAAATTTAACTCATGGTAAACAGTAATCTAAGCTTCGATATGGCAACTCTGATCTATCATAATAATGGCATAAAACGTAAGAGATTCTTTTCGACCATAGTTTTGCCAAACATTATTCTGTTTAGATACGTTTCAAACGTCTTTCATTCCTATCGAATGAATGCTACAAAGTACATATTAGCTTCTAACTAAATAATATGTTTGAGATATTTTTCGCTTTAATTTTCGAAAAAAAATGAATTAATTACATTAAATTTGATGAAACACAGCAGTTAGTTTGAGAGTTCTCAAGTTTTGTTAACCTACTACTGTAGTTTCATGTTACGTTCTCCATAAGAAAACATTGTCAGTTTTTCTTTTTTTGTCAATTTACATCAAATATAAAATGTATTCTTTCATTTTTAATCTTTTTATAAACTGGGTGGATGTGGGTGTGGGTGTGCGGTGTAGGTGTGGGTGTGGGTGTGAGTGTGCCAAACTTTTAGAAATATATCTACCCACACCCATGCCCACACCCACACCCTATTTTGAATTAGTTAATCTTATATCATCATCTCTATTCTATTGTCGTACAAATATATCGATTATTCAAACGTTTACACTGACACATTGATTTTCCTAGCAATAAGTAATCTTTTGTTTGCTTTAATTTTAAATATTGAAAATTATTTAAAGAGATTTTAATCCAATGAATGATTAACGAATAATCTCCAATCGGTACATTAATTGATAGAGTAAAACGATATTTTATTATTTAATAAATTACTCTTCACAATTAATTAAAATCAAATCATACTAATAATGATGCACAATTATTTCTTTTTTTTTCCCGATAGGATGTGGAAGTGGGTCTGCTGGTATCGCCTTCAGCTACATTCACACCACTAACTATTGATATTGTATATAATGAATGTTATGCATGTTGAAATAATTCTGATTTATATGAAATAACACTTATAAATGGTTATTGACAAGGCCAAATAAATGAAACTATAAAAACACTCAATAGACAAAATAAATCAAAGGATTGAATTGTAAGGTATGGGATATTAGTCAAAATGAATTAAAATGAAAACATTCTGATAATGATGATCATTCACTATTAGTTGATTATTGTATTGAAAAATATGATGAACGACGAGCTATACTATCGAATGAAAGTTGTCTAAAGAATAAATTGTCAATAAATTAATTCATGATGCTAAATATCGTTTTCATGTTTGTGCAGAAAATAAATACCGCTGATTAGAACCGAGTGAAACTATTGAACCAATATACTTATTCAGAATCCATTTGGTAACATATCACAATATGTTCGGCATGCACCATCCATAAAAAAAAAGTCATTTTTAACTGCAAAATTTGTCTTTTTAAGCATCTCACGCACCTTTCATAATAAAAGTAATTACTTTTGGTGTTTTCCGAGCGGACATGAAAATACTCAATCAGCAACTGCAATTAGGGCGTCTAAACACGTTTTGAGAAATTTCTTGTCTGCTTAGAAAATTTTCTTCGGTATCAGAATACAATATTCAAGGAAATCTAAACTCATTGTAATAATTAAAATTTTGGGTGTGGGTGTGAGTTCAAGTGAAAGGAGAATATTCACACCTACACCCATAATTTGCAAGTTTTGCCAAAAGACATAATTCTGATAAGATTGAATCAGACTCGTCAACTAAATAAGACATTATTTGCATCAATTTTTAAAAAAATATAATAATATTTGAAATATCACTATTGTCTCTTACAAGGTCTTTTACTGGTTAATAGAATAGCCAAACTACGAATTTCTATTTTTCTACGGATAAAAGACGATTTATGTGAGCGTGCGTTCGCTAAAAGTGTGCTATGGGCGTGGATATAGGGTAAACAAAGACGCACATTCACGCCCAACAAATCGGATGATGACACTTTGACCTTGAAATTTTGCCCACATACAGATCTCAAAACTCACTCATATTCCACGAAAGATGCCAGAATTTTATGTTTTCTTTCGAGCTAAAATTTTCAGGGTACTCTTGCCACAAGTAGATCTATGTGTGTGCTAAATCTTAGGTGGAAATATCATGATTCGATTGATTGATACAAACTATGCCATAGGCTAAAAGACTTTAGGATGTTTATACTTTCGCAGATTTTTCATATCTGACTGGGGTCTACGTTATGTTTAGTCTTCGATTCAGAAAAGTTTTGTCAATTGAAACGGTTCTCTCGTGAGCACAGTTACTCTTATGTTCTTCTCCTCTTTTTTTTTTACATTGATCTCATTTCAAATTCTCTACTTTATTTTGTTATTATTAATGAACTTTTTCTTTCTTGTTTAAAATTATATCGACGTTCATTTCCAGAAGAGGTTATCATAAATGAGAATTGTTTGTTTGAATATGAACGAAAAATATAAATTTCTTCGGATTAACGATCATTGCTCAATATTTACAAGAATTTTGAAAAAACAAGTTGTTTGACCAATTTTTTCAGCTTTTTAACAGTGAAAAAGCCCCTTGCTTTTATTCAAGAATAGAATTTCTATAAGCTCAAAACTACTTAAGATTAAAATTTTCATAAACAATTTCTTTTTATT